CCTGTACCTGCGCCGACATGATCTACATCGGCCCGAACGACTACATCGACCGATCTGCACTGCGTCGAGCCGAACTACACCGGGCCGAACCACGACATCAAGCTGTCTGATCACAACAGACTACGAGTCAAGATCATCGTCGAGCAAATACACGAGAAGCGACATCAGCACCAACCACACGTCAGGCCGGTGTGGAAAGCGTGCAATTCTTCATCGACTTCTTCGGTACAGCACAGCATCGACACCTCGTCGCCACAAGGGACGCCTCCAAGCGACGCATCATCATCGACACGCCGCTGCACCGTCGACACTTCATCGTCAAGGTCTTCATCAACATGGTCTTTACCAACATCATCGTCGACACGCCGCCGCCGCCTAGCGTCTTTTGACAGATTTTTCTGCAAGACGCGACCTCGACGACGGCAATGACTGCGTCACGACGACGACATCGACCGCGTCATTCACGACGGCACGACTGTATCGACACGACGTCACTATAGTGACGACCCTACACGGACACATGGTTCTGGCAAAACCTATGTGTGCTCGATGGGTTTCCTTCGGTCTTGGCAAAACTGGTGGACTCATCGTCGACGACACCCTCTGACATTCGCAAGGTGCATTGTCCACGTCTGCAGCTCCGTCATATCGCAATTTTTTTTGCGCCTCCGGCTTTGTGCGGCTTCATCATCCACGATGAGTACACCATCGACCACGACTACATCGACCAAGGCTACATCACCATAATCGGCTACCTCGACATCGACAATAATGGCTTGATCTACAGCAACACATCGGCAACAACTCCAGTCAACAGCGTCCGCGTCGTCACCAGCATCCACGCCACTCCCGCTATGACTGCGGGAGGGAATAGAGGAGAGTCATGAAGGCACCAGAAGGGGACGCGGTCACCGCCCTAGGTGCCAACCCATCAGAGACGCAGTTGATGATGGCGCGGCGGAGAAGACGACGAAAGCGCAAGACTTCAAATTCAGTCGTACTCGTCCGCTTCACTCCCGCTACGACTGAGGGGGAATATTAGAAATATAATTGGGTTTAAGTTAGAGATAATGAGATAGAGATAGAATTAGTTTAAACCACATAACTTGTCTTGTACTCCAAGTCTCTATCCCTCTTGTACTTCTATATGTACCCTACACAAAGGTTAGATCAATACAACGAATATTGTAGGTTCTATATTTTCTACATAAATGACTTGAGACTAACAAACATGACATGCAGTGTTTAGTTCATTGCATGCAATGCTATTAATTAGC